ACAGATGCTCATAGCGATAGGTATTGTCGAACGTTAATATAACGTTTTTTCCTGATGTTATGTAACTATCAGATTGATACATTGACACGTGTACCCTGGGCGCTCAAGAAACATGAGCGGACTACGGTTTACAAACCCCTGATTTAGAGTTTTTAGTTTCAACACGGCTTACCCTCTCTGGTCATGAGCGTCATCTTAGTGATTCTAATTTTTTCACCCCCCCTCGGATTTACTTATAATTTAGCTACGTGTTTATCGTAATCAGGTTCTTTGTAGTGTAACTGCAACCGCGTAGTGTTGTGTTTTTGTTTTAAGGCTTTTTAACACCTTTCTGGAGTACTCGACCGAAAAGTGCAATTATTTGAATATCAATGCAAGAGTGGTACATCCAACTATTTTAAGACGAGAGATACCCATAACACAAGGACTAATATCATTTAGAAATTCTTTTCTGTTTTGTGGTACCTGTATACTATCTGTTCTGAGACTTAGAATAAGCTTTATGTTACCTAAGTCTTAAAACCTTGCATACCGTGAGTTCTGAAACAATCTTTTATGTGTTTATTCTGTTTGCTTATTCGAATCACTGCGCCATCTTTATCTCGTTTCAGTGATTAATTCTGCTTGTTACAAGGTTTTAGTCGCCCTTTCTTGATTATAGATTGCAAGTGAAACTTTGTATCAGACTGTTTCGGATATATAATTTATAAAGTTTTGTCACTAAAGAAAATTAAAACTTCAGCACTGTATATCATTTAAAATTTTAGTTTATACAAATGTAAACCTTACACATTTTCACCATTTTCACCATTTACTTCATAATCCCTTCTTAATTGAAATTTGTCCTCGCTCAATCATACGCCTATGAGGTCTATTTATATTGCGACAGAAACATGTTTATATCAGTTTAATTTAATTAAATGGGTAACTGACTGAACCTGTGTATTCTAATCGGGCCAGTTAATTAAAGAAACAATAGTAGAAAATGTTAATTTAAGCGCAAGTATCAACAGAAACTGTTCAAAATTTCTGCGTTTGTTTGCGCCGTTTTCCAATAAATATCAATCAAATTTGATGTACAATGTAGAATAATGTTTTAAACTGGTAACATCCACATCATCATTACCTGTGATATTGCTTTGCTTATCATGTTTACTTCGGTAATCTGTATGCACGCATACATCTGACGTCATTTGAAGATGTGGAATCCTCCTGGGAATCTAATAGCCACCAAACAAGTTAAAAAAAACCCAACCCTGCCCGCCCGGTCCCATGGAAACACGAAGGTCCATTTCCGTGTTCACAAGAACCCGTCACTAATGCGTATCCCTGCTAGATGAATTCAGCTTTCATATTTTAGTTCTGAAACGCTTTATCCCACGTCTACTCGTACGTCTCCCAAGTGGTTTATCTGATTCTGTTATTCCAACTTCCGTTATGTAGCGTTTCCTAACGCGTTAGTTTATTAACGGCGAGGAGTTAGTAGAACCTCATCCAAACCTTAAGCTGAGGGACCACCATTTTGTCTGCCATTGCTTTTTAAATATATTTGCAGCTTCCTGCTATATCCGGAGGCCGTCTCCTATACTCGCAGGTAAAGTCGGAGGCTCCGAACAATGACATTGCGCCGTTAACATGGGAATTGAACCTTCTAGTGAATATAGTATTTATTTGTGTGAATTGCACATATTTCATGTTTTATTTGACAAACATCTTATTATTGAACTGTATGTAGGTTGGGTCATTTGTTGACCCGTACTGGCCTCTATTCTGTTCAATCCTTTAAAGCCTAGTGGTGCATATATGCCCCACCTTTTTGACATTCTACAAGTTTGCATTTTTTTAAACAGCGATTAGTTTCTTAAACAGCGTTAACGAAATGATCTTCATACGAGGTGTGATCGGAAAGTTTCAAGACTGCGCCTATAAAAACCCGTACACTTATCTCAGGTATTAAATTCATCCATCACCCTCGAAGTAGTTCCCCTGGGAGTGAACACAACGATCCCAGCGCCGCTGAAGTCCTATGAGATGAGAAATAACTTGCAGGACACCAATACTGATATTTCCATGTCCAGTTGTTTGCAAGAAAGCCGTCACCCTAACAGGTTTAATTCGTGACAGCCCCCGTCAGAGTCCGGGACACCCTGTCCATCACAAAACTGTTACGTATTTTGACAATCGATTATGACGTATCAGCACAAATAACTGATAACAGTTTCTTTCGACCTCTAACTGGCGGTAATTTACGCGAAGACCACTATCGCCCTGCGGGTTGAAATAACTCAGCCAACCTTCTAAATATGTACAACAGATGCGTATGCATTTAAGCAGGCTTATGTATTAAGCTGTGTCCTAAATACGGGTCAACGCAGTTTCCATTTCAGGCACCTCGTATTTCAGGTTCTTCTTTGATGTTACGACGATTTGTTCATGAAAATCCGCCATTCCGAAATCGCAGGAGGGTCGGTGTAATGCACTACCAAAACGCCCGTAACTAAGAAACAAATGCTAATTCGATGATGCCGGCTGGCACACTGATTCACTATGAATGTAGGCCGCACCCCCTAGCGGCAGAAGCATCCGGTTCGCCCTCTATTGACACAGTCTTGAAACTTTCCGATCGCACCTCGTAATGGTTTTTTTCGATATGGATGGACTAAGTAAATAATAGCAGGTTCACCGCAGCGCTACTGTGGGGAGCCACCGTGGTGATCTGGGCAACCAATGATATCCTGAAGTTTATTTGTCTCAAATATAGCGTCTTTAGAAGGCGTCATGACGATTGGCGTTGCGACGGTTGGAAACAGGTTTTCGGCGTCGTGTCCGGTGCCATTCCGAGATTCATTTGTGCCAAATAGGCGGTACATTACATTATTCATTTAATCTCAGCTTACCCTTTGATCTTTTTTGATTTAATATTTTTGTTTAACACTTCAGCACTGTTATTTTATATCTGTAGTACGATACGCGACTTGCTAAATTTTTCGCCGATGTGACCTTTATAAGAGGGATGTCTGTGCCAGAACGACATTTTATATTCGGTTATTCGAGAATCGATAGCGTTTTCAGTAACGAATTTCTGCCATATTTCCGTTCTCGCCTGTAGTCGTTCCGGTTCATTGCCAAATTTGTAACGCTATCGCATCGCATGGAAGACAGTAAAAATGGGTCTGCGTGTTGAAGGAGGTGACACAACCAATACAGAATCAGAGGGCAAGTCAGTACTCGGGCGTGGTTATGTCTCCGGTTTATTGTCGATTCGGAGCTATAGTCGATGACGTGAAATCATATCCAATTTTCGTGTATATTAATTTGTAGCGGAGACAATAATCAGTATGTTTCATGGGCTGAGAGCTACTTCAGGCAACGCGTACTGAAATATTTGTGATGTATGAATTGCTTTTGTGGTCTGAGCTTCTTGAATTTAGAATTTATAACTATTATGTGACTAGCGTATTGGCTTCACGTTGCTTCTGTCGTTCAGAAGACATCTTGTTACACTCAAAATAATTTTGTGGTTTATCGACGATTTTCCATATACATAGGGTAAATGTAGTCGAATGGCAGTGTGTGAATTTTCAGGATTTGGATGAAAGTTCTAGCGGTATATTTTAAGATTCTAACATAGTCTATCAGTGGAGAAATTAAGGAAAGTTACATTAAAGCTCTGTCGGTACAATAAACTTGTGCACGGAACGTCAGGAAACATGGACATGAAGGAGATAAGCAGTGAACCAATCGGTAATTTTCTTTGCTGAATGATGATGAGCAGAATAATTTGTTATTACTACGATGCATTATTTTAGATTCTTTCTGTCCCAGAATCGCGTGTTTGCGCCTGTAACAGATGAACTCAGTCTTACCTTTTTTGTGAACAAGAAACATCTATGCGAGTGCCTATATAACTGCAATTCGCATTGTCGTATGTCTATTAAATTATAAATTAAATGTTGATTAATTTGCACTGCTCTTCGTGTTTACGTCAGTAATGTTTCGGGAAACCGGGACGCTTAACATTTGAATGAAAACGAGAAACGCTCAAGCGTCTTTCATTCAATCTCATTTTTTACAACGTCGTCGTATTGTGTGCCGTTGCATGCTGCGTTGCAGTAACTTGTTTCGTGCCGTCTGACATGTTTCGAAATGTTCCCTGTTTCTGTCATGAATTCATGTATAATCTGTACATTTATTATGCGAGGTGCGCAATATGCCGAATTATTTTAGACACGTCTGTATAAGCTCGGTGATAAGGAAGTGAAGATTGTACAGAACGACGTATGTAATCCTTTCCTTAATTGTGGGAACATTTCTACGCACTTATCATATTTTAAATCACATATCCGTGTTATATGACACTGTGCCAGGTTCTGGAATAATTACGGATGTGTCTCTAAAAAACAAATCAAAACTTGCCCGTGTAGAATGGAACTCTGCTTTCCTATCCTTGGTCCTTCTTTGATTCCTTTGTAATTTCGTTGTTATGATCCTGTATTGTGTAAGAATAGCAGGAGTGTCTGGTGAACTAACTTTGTCGTTTGATTTCTTTTCAGATAACTTCAAATCCTAGGAGAACATTCAGGTGTGCCCGAAAGCAGTTGAAGGAATATATTTAAGCCTTCAATCTTATTTGAACTTCACGTTGCATCTGGAACACCGCAAATAAAGTCAAATGATTTACAGAGGTGATGAACATTCTGCACGTTATGAAAGCATAAAATTATTTTATCACAACTACATAAAACGGAATTAAGTTACAAACAAGTTAATATCTCTCTGTCATTTGTTCAACACATTTGGGACTCAAATATTGGAAGATTTATCAGAAAGTAGCTTTCATGCGTACTTTTACAATTGGATTGTATTAATATTTAGTCGCAGTCCAGTTTGCTAGTTTAATGGGCGATAAACATAAACTAACCAAGACTCACAACTTAAGGAAGAATTCTGCACATATTTCCAACAGTTAAGAACTTCCAGAAAAATCTTCCCTCGTCGTACCTTGACTAGCAATACACTTGTGTGTGCAATAAACGTATACTTTTCTTTTTCCATATTCTGAATATATTTTAAAAAACGCTTTCAGACATGAGGAATTGTGTTGTCTTTGAAGATATGAAGGTTTCTGCGACAAAGAGCGTTGCTCTTAAGTCATGATAGTGTTTTGCTTACATAATGTTTTAAAACTTATGAAATATGCTTAAATAATTATATTAATGCAATTTTTCACAATGTGACGTTCTTTAGAAAACATTATCCAGTATGAAGAAGTATGATTGTTTAGTACAGCGTCGAGTATAAGAGTCAGGATGCGTGTAGTGTCCAGCAGAAAGAGAAAATATTGGTTTGGTGGGAACGGCTGGGTCGTGTGTGTCACTCTGATGACATGCTGTTGGCTTGTAGTCGGTGATGCAGTGCGGAACACTTCTACGCTGATGCCACGTGGCAACAGTAGCGTTAAAATTGGCGCTTCCTCAAGAGCGCGTGAATCAACTGGTGTTAAAATTGGTGGTAGTGAGAATAAGAGGCATCGCGAAGGTGTTAGAGTTGGCGAAGCGTCCAGAAACAGAGACCCAGTTACTGTAAAGGTAGTGACGACTGTACCGTCTAAAGTGCAGTCCTCCAGTGACAAGACGTCCGGAAACGTGTCTCGAACGAATGCTGCAGAAGGAAATCGTTCGGCGACGGTGGTGTCCCCGGGAAGCCTAGCGACTGTACCTGCCCCTTCGTCCACGACGACTAAGTTGCATATTGGACTCGTGGTTCCATCAAAGTCTTTCGGAGTGAGAGAATATACCAGAGCTTTCCATGCCGCCATAACAGGATTGCAGACGAGGACGAGAGGCAGGAAACTCAAGTTGTTCTACAAGTACGACATCAGTCCGAGATACGACATGAAACCCCTCACGCCCAGCCCAACAGGTAGGAATGACAACATGCTCTATTAAGCCACATAATCTATAGATTTATACAGATTTGAAGCCAGACTGTGCTTTCGATTATTTCAAGGGACAAATCAGTAATGAGTTAAGTGAATGTATACCGAACTTCGTGTTCGTCTCTGACAAAAGGAATTTTTTTGAGGAGGTGAAGATGACAAAATTATTCTTTTGGGTTGTGACGCCGTGTTGACTTATAGGTAGAAACCAAAGTTTCGGAAAAAAATATAGTCTCCATATTCAGGGCTGAAGTGGGGGTGTCCAGCTTTGTGTTTTTCCAGAAATGTTATCTATTTGTACGTCTACACGGTGGTAAACCCCAGGATAAAGACATTGTTAAGAGATATTTCGTTATTTAAAGATGTAACGCACAATGTAAAGGTTGCAAAAGATTTCGTCTTCGTTGCAAATAAAACCCACTTTAAGATCGCAAACGGTATAAGTGTAGAATTCTGAGAGCTTTGTACCTAACAGAGAATTAGCTTTTGTGTCGTGGATTGTGGTCTTTTGGGTTGTGATGCTGTTTAGTCGTGTATTTTGTTACTATCGTTGAGAAGGAATAACTCTTCTTCACTCTCAGACATTCTTACCGCCGCGAGAACCTCATATTTCATGGACTTTTATGTTACTGTCGTCAAACTAGAAGCAGACGCTCTGTGCATTAAGAGTTATTTCCAATTGTAAGTTCACATACTTAAGTCAGAATGTCGCTGTCACCTCCATCCGGCCTTTAATATTGTCTCAGGAACATTTCAATGATTTTGAACATAATTTGACTCTTGGTCGTCAGTAAACTTCTCTGCGTGAGTTGAATTTCGGTTCGTAGCTGGCCAACACAACCCCTTTCTTACATGAAGTTCACATCGAATTTTATAATTCTCCTTAAAGAAATGTGTCCTGTTAAACTCACTGTTACTGAAATTTCATATTCATTATGTAGGCTGGTTTGTTTATTGGCTGTTACTATTCAAAGGGGTTGTTGTAATGATTCTAGGAATGAACGTTGATTAGGAACAGTAAAAACCGATCCCTAATTTAAGGTCCACATGATGAAAAAAGAATTCGAGAAATGTTATCCACTACTATAAAATTAAATAAGTATAAACTTATGAAAAATTTGTAGAACTTCCCGTTCTTTTGTGAGAATATATTACCTTTATTTTTAAGTATTACCACAACTTCAACCTCAATTATAACTTTATGCGTTGGAAGAATTCCCATCGAAATATTTCTTAACTTTTAGCTTTCTTCAGCAATTACAATCATACGATTTATTGCATTAATGTACACACAGATGTAAGTCTACATGTGATCTCCATATTCATTGCAACGAGAACGTAGTATATAATTCAAGTAAGTTAATTCAGAATTTCCAAATACTTATTTTCATACATTCGCTTAGATTAAGCCGACGTACATATTGTTCAAAATACCTTAATCAGCTTCCTCATGCACAATTCATAACTCTCTTTAACAGACTGTCCTATTTTATTCAGTGTGTTTTAATATTAGGCTTTCATAATAATACATTACCGCGATGGTTTAATGATGTAGGCACAACCGCCTTCCTCCACATAAAATCAAGTCGTCATTCTATTATTCAATGTTGTGTAAACCCAGCAGTTGAAAGCGTCATTGAATAAACCAAGAAATAAATTAGTAACTTCCTGGAAGAACGTATAATGCCATATTTAATTAAAATTCTTATATTTAAAAAATGTACCAGGGAAGACGTACACAATGATTCCGCAAGCCTACTTTAGCTTATTAAATAATAAATGTAAGCAAAAAGAAGTTAGGAAATACACAAAGATTTACAATTTCCGTAAACAACACGTGTAAATGCATCATAAACAAGAACAAGGACGAGACTGAAATATTATTACCAAAGCATTGTACACAAATACATGGTACACGTGTGTGAAATGTTCTCATTAATTGGGATTTTGTAAGTAAGCAGAATGGCAGCATATTTAAAGTAGCTTAAAATGGCAGAAGGCGCCTGCAGTGCTGTGTTTAGGCTACATGGCATGTAGATGTGTCGGAGAAATTGCCGCAAGATCAAGGGGACTACAAATTTGAAAGAAGTGACGAAGATTTTGTATTGTGTTACCTGCCAAACTCAGTAGTATTTTCTCAACCGTTTTCGGATTCATATAACTAATCATGCGCTGAATAACAGAAGCGCATTTACTGTAGCTGAAGACAGTTTTTCCATCACGCCAAACAGTTTCTTCCATTCAGTTCCTTATATTTTGTTTAAGTGCAGTGTGATAACTTGGAATATCAAACTTTTGATGTCGTTCTTGGGAAATACCCGTTTTAACACTCCATAAGCTGTTTTAAAAATTTATGCTGTGTGTGGCATTAACATTCTTCGAAAATGCACAGTAGTATATATATATAGTTTTTAAAGACGCAGGAAGAAAGTACACTCAGAGAGAGAGATATTTAACTTATTCCACTGAGTACGATACGTATTTAAGAGTTCAGCTGATTATTAAAATCCCCGCCATATATGGAACCAGGAGGTTTTTTTGTGCCCACCAGCGCGACCCTATTCTGAGCAAATACATTCCATCTACCTTCCATCATAAAGCTCATGTCTCAGAGACCTGTCTCAGTATTATCTTTACATTTACTTATTGTTTTTCAAAATTATTTAAAAAATTATTCATTGTCTGGACTTTTTCCATCGTCCTTGTACCTCTCACCTGAAGACGGAGGAAGTATGACCTCTGAAACGTTGGTGGAAATGTACCATACTACACAACGCAATAACCCAGAAGACAGAAATCATCAGACTCACCGCTGTGAAAACCTCAAATCATACGACTTTCAGTATAATAAAAGCATACAGCTCGTTATGACATCATCATAGTTAAGAATGACAAGCCACTTCGACTCCCAAGGCAGGAAACTGCTGAAAAAGAGGCACTGAATGCACTTGGCAGACGCTTTCACACACCCGACGTTCCCTTATTTTTTAATCCTTGTTATATTTTCAATATTCTTTTGGACGTTAGACCGTTATTTTACTGACAACAGGAATCAAGAATGATGCACGTCTAGCAGAGATGAATACGGCTGTAGGGATACGCAGTGGAACCAAAGAGGCAGTTTTGCGTGTCCTGTAGTAGTTAGAGATAATCGTGATCACGCCTCTGTGGAGGGCATTGTGGTTGCCATTGAATTCGCAGCTGCATTGCGGGATTAAGGTCCGTGACTGTCGCTAAACACTGTGGCTGAACGCGGTCCAAAAGTTTGTTTACTCAGCGTGATGTTTGAACAGCTTTGTGTGCTCTTTTGGTGTGTTCAAGAGCTGCGTGGACTTGAAAGTTATGTAGTATATAACTATTTTTCTGCAAAATCATAAAACAGGGCGATTCATAAGTCTAGCGCAATGCGTCAGGAGTTTATTGGGGAGATTATTTGGCCGAGAAATGTAAATAATCTTTTCTTGTATGGTTTGAGGTTTTCACAGCGGTGAGTGTGAAGATTTCTGTCTTCTGGGTTGTTGCGCTGTGTAGTCTGGTCGATGTTAACCAACCAGGGCGATTCATACACGATTTAATTTCTACATTGACTCATAAAATTAAATTTTGCTTAGAGTGTAGGCCTGTTTCACGCTGTCGGATATGAATGGCTCGCAATGTTTATCTTGAGAAACATGGAGGAAAGAAGCCATTTAAACCCAGAATAAGTGAAAGAATAACGCTATGAAGAACGCAGATAGTCTTGTAAATCATGAGTGTGTGAGCTGGAACTGTGGAAGGTCAGGTTTTAGGCACTGAGCCAAATGGAACGTCAGAAATGAAGGGACAACTAAGCATGAGTGCGGTTATCACAGGGATTAACATGTACTTCGTGGAGATTGAATTGGAAAGACTACACGCTTTTTCCTTACTATCTGCAGAACCGATGCATCACACACGTAAAATAAATGTGTTTACTGGCTTTCAGTAGAAGCTAGGAACATGGTGGAAAGCTTTTATGTTTCACCTTGATGCAAGGTTTCTTGAAGGCCTTTAGAAAGCTTTCAGCTCTTCTTATGAGGAGCGTAGAAGTTCGTGTCGGAAATGTTTCGCAATTTTGTAATTTTTGAGAGTAAAATAAATACAGGCCTTATAAATTCACTGTTCCTGTGGAGCGATGCTGTTTGAGTAGGTTATAGTCAGCCAACTGGTCAATAAATTTGAAGTATTTTTTGAAACTATAAAATTTATTGCAATGAAATTTATTCTGAGCAAACTAAATAGTGTCCATTCCCATACACTCTGTAGCTCTAAGTTATATTTTAGAATTATCGTCATATTTACAACGAGGTATTTTTCTTCTATATTTTCTGACCACAATTTTGTATCAATTTATTATCTGTTCCATGCTTGTGATTCGGTAAAGAGCATAAATTATTTATTATGAACTTTCCTCCATCTTTGTAATACTTCCTGTTTCTTACATTCAATTAATTTTCATTGAAATAATTTTTATTGTTACGGTCTAGAATAAAACGAGGCAGAACTGTTGCTTCTCAGATGAGTTATGCAATTTAGCAGCAATAATTTTCTCGTCATAAGCAAGAAATTAAAACTCAGTAAGATTAATCGAAAGTGACGTTGTTTTTCATGCCGAGTAAGAAAATTACGACTTGAAAGTATAATGTGATGGCTACTTAATCTTAATTCATTTTGCAAACAAAATTCAGTAATCGAGGTTTCGATCAACTTCTCGATAAAGATCGAAAACATGTTTAAACCCGTCTCGCGTGATTAATAAGACAAACATGAAACTTCAGCATAAAATTTATATTTCGCTTCATGTTTCGACCTAATAAATAATTAACCTAGGTCCTTGAACAGCGGACAGACTTTGATTTCTTAAGGATTCTAACAAAATTAAGACATTGCAGCTTCTGTAAAATGACGTCATTGAGCAGTTCGTTTATTTCTGTTGCGCTCGTAGGAAACTACTGCAGACGACGTA